GGTTAGATAGCAAATGTCCTATGTATTTTATCTTTGAATTATTATTATTATTTTAACAAAAAAAAAAAAAGCTCGATCAGAGACTCTTCGATCCAAAACATGAACGGCAGTCACAGTTTAATAATCTCACAACTCGGCAACTACTTGACTAGCTGCTGCTGAATCTAAGAACCCTAATTCCATATTCGGATCTTCCTGCTAATTCTCTCAACAAAGTTTGGGGTTTGGAGTGTTTTTGTTTGAGATCGAGGATGAAAGAATCGAAATCGGCCAAGTTGAATCAGCAACAACAACAACAATACAATCACCAGAATGTTCACTTGTCTTCCTCCAAACTAGCCAATTTGTTCGATCCCGATGCTTCGTGGGACAAGGTAACTCACTCGCTCTTCTTTCTCCCTCGTTTTCGGCAGTATCGAAGCTCCTCCTTTGACTTTTTTACTTCATTTATTTTCTTTCTCATGGAGATTTGATTCATCGAGTCATTTTTGTTGTTGTTGGAATTGAGTAAGCGTTGTAGTCCATCTTACTGAATCAAATTCAATTGCCCAAGATCAAGTTGTTCACTAGAGTTCAATTTGTGAATTCGCATGAGCTATTATAGCTATAGGTTTGGTTTTTTAGGAGTCGATTTTGAAATGATTTGGTATGAATTGGGATATTGTTGATGATGCAGGATCAATTGGGAGACGTGTTGCATTGGATTCGACAAGTGGTGGGATTGATCTGTGGATTGTTATGGGGCTCAATTCCACTTGTTGGAGGCATTTGGATCATTCTGTAAGTTCATTACTATGACCACCATTGCTTCTTTGCGTTACCATGTTGATAACTTGGAAACGCAAACCGCAAAGAGAAACAATCTCGTAGACTAATCCTGTTCCAGCCTCGATTTGAATGACTTTTTTCTTGTTTCATTCGAACTGAAGCAAACTGCATTCAATATTCTCTTCGATTCATCTCCATATTTTGCCAAAGACACAATTTTAGAGAAAATGGGAAGGAAGCAATCAAAGATGTTCCTTAAAGCTTTTTAATCGCATTGCTTTTAAACCTCGAAGATTAGCAGTATATTGTGAATTTGTGACGTAATGTACCTATGATGGGATTTTGCAGGTTTTTGGCGATATCCTCAGGGATCGTTTACGGCTACTACGCAATGATTCTCAAGGTTGATGAAGAAGATTTCGGAGGTCATGCAGCTTTGCTGCAAGAGGGTCTCTTTGCATCAGTTACTCTCTTTTTGGTAAGTTTGTTTTCATCTCTTTTTTTTTTGGTCAAAAACTTCTTACCTAAACAGAAGTTACGATTTAAGAAAATCTGTTTCATGTACTGTCTTCAGCTCGCATGGATTCTTGTCTATAGCTTGGCACACTTCTGAAAAAGCTGAGCAACATTCTTTCTACTCAGCAACAAATGCTCTTCGTTTTCCACTACCTCGGAATCCCGGAACAAATCTCTGTTTTCTTCTATCTTTTTGTAAACTTGTCTGAAGAAACAGGCTATAAGAGACAAAACGTTATAGTAACAATTTTATGAATCTTTTTTTTTTGTTTTGTTTATGTTACATAAGCTTCCTAGTATCCTTTTTTAAATACACAATTGAGTAGAAACCATCCCCCAAAAATCCTTCTTTTGTCAGAATTATGTATATCTGGAACGCCGATCTCTCCTTGGCCGGGAAACAAGGTATATCCTGCCATAAACCCATTTTCTACCCAACGGCGACGTCGATTTCTGACACAGGAAGACAAAACCAGTCATTGTTGTTATAAAAACTACATAAGATTGACTATAGATTGACTATATACGGCAGTGATCACAATAGCGTTGGCGATGAAGCAAAATCAGGGAAAATGGGTCTTCTTTACCTCTACTTTGGTACGGAACTCCAAGGTGCATTCACAGACATGACAGTCGGCTTTGTGAGCTGATCGGTTTGATTGATCGGATCTCACAAACGCAAAGACCTACACAAGTTCATCAAACCCAAATGTGAGAGAACTGGATATTGCAATTTTGTGCTGGAAAAGAATTATGAGCAAAGATTTGACCTCTTCCCCACAATTCGGGCAGTTTCCTTTTAGAGCCGTTAAGTCATTTCTCCATAACCCATGAAGTACTTTTACTGCAAACAGCATTCTTAACTCAGTAGAAGTAAATGATAGCTATTACTATATTGAATAGAAACTGCAGAGTTACTACCTGCAGAAGATGCAATCGGATATCCAAAAGCAGGTCCCAGCACGGTGAGGAGTATGCCGTTCAACTTTGACAAAAAAGGCACAGAAGTAGACAATTGGCCGCTATAGACAAGCCCTGAATCGAACGGATCTCCTCCATAGACTAGGCCGAGGCCATAGATCGTGGGCAAAACGCATGCCGAGCTACCAAATAAGAGAATCAAGATCCATATGGTAGCTAACAGAAGAACTTGTGATGCATCATCCTGTCCTACAAGGATTTAACTCAATATCAATCCTTGACAAAACATTCTTCACCAGCAAAACAATGATCACATACTAATCTAGGAAACAGATGTGAAGTGATGCATTTCCCACTATGACCAGGTGGTAGTGAGCACACAGATGAAAAACAAACAGATCATTGTTTCTCAAGAGAGAAACTGACGAAGCAGATGTTTTATTGAGAAGACCAAGGAAACTAAACAATGTATAAACTTGTTGGTTCGAATGAGATGAGAGTGATATGGCAGGAAATATTATCAAAGGCCACTACCTACCTTAATAACACATATGACCTTCTAAAAACTGAATAGCTAATCATTAAACAAACCCAAATCTCAAGGATTAACAAAATTGCAAATCCGTCAATGAAAAATTTGGGTCCATCTGTTACAAAAGAACTAATTAGAAACATGAAACACCCAAATTGTACCTCTGCATCAGCATAAGTTGACTGTCGCAAGAGGCTACACCGAGGGTACTTGACAACAGATTTTGAACCATACCAACGAAGCTTTAGCTACAACATAAAAATGATAACAAAATCAAAAAGCAGAGTCCCAACATTATAATCATATCTTGCTATAGAAACTGTATATATTAACCTAAAGTAATCATAAGAAGTAATAAGTTATCTTACCTCAACTCTGTCAAACATGTCATCAACTATCAAAGGCTTGCCATTGTAATACGCATCCCTCGCCTACACACAAGTATCCAAGTTCCATCAAGCAGACTTCAACATTTGTGCAATGACTTCAATATGACTATACTCAATACTTTCATAGACCTTACTTAAAAAATCCCAAGAACTAAGTACTGTCACAGATCATAAGAAGCAAAAAGAATTATCAAATTCCATCCAAATCACAAAATTTTACTTCACGAGTAGAAATTGCAAAGTAATACACAAACCACAGAGATGGATTTCAAGAAGCGTACTTGTCGATAAAGAGCTTCTAGGGTTTCTTTACGAGCGGAATCAATCGGACCAACGAAGATACAAGAAGGACCTTCCTCACGTGAAGTAGACGGTGCGGTGAAACCACCTCCATGGACTCGGGTTCTGGTAGAGATCCGAACAGAGAAAGGAACTCCGGCTCGATTAATCAACNTGGAAAGCTCAACAATCGAACAAGAGCCAATGACGCGAGGAGGCCTAATCGAGGTACAAGTACCAGCCATGTAATCCTCTTCTTCTTCTTCTCTAGTCGCCGGTTAGTTCGAGAAATGGTGACCACACGATTCAATTCGGCGCGTGCACGCAACATACGTTTATTTATATGTTTTTAGATTAAAACGAAATTGGATAAAATCCCTGATTTGACGATAATGCCCTTACAAGCGACGGATGTTAAAATTAAAAAAAAATTGTGCGTCTGCCGGGATTTGAACCCGGGTCAGTTACTTGGTAGGCAACTATCCTACCGCTGGACTACAAATGCCTTTGTATCAATCTCATATTAAGATATATAAGATTTATCAAAAACCTCAAAATTAAAATGCAACATTTTTTTTCTTTGCTGGAAATGAGGATCAGAGAATTTCTTGAGCTCTAAGTTATAAATTCAAAGGAAAACATCAGATAGTTTTTAATTTCAGAAGTAACTGGAAAAACCATACAAAGTTGTAGCAAATTAATTTAAACTGGTTTTTAAAAGGGAAATAAAAAGAGCAATTTCTAAAGGCAAAAATCTCTTTAACATTGTTGCTTAAACTTCTCTTTGCTTCTATTCGTTAGAGTAGATCTCAAAGCCTCCTCTTTCGTTTGTTCTTGGTACCAGCAAGATTGTTCCTTATCTTCAACATTACATCCGTTGCTTCCTCCATTGTCGCCTTTCGGTTTTGCTCATAGTTCCAAAGCTCTAAAATCACATAGCTACCACTTGCATTGTAATCCTCTATCTCTAGCTTTGCTCTTACAACTTCACTATAAACTTCTTCACCGAATTCGTTCTTCAGCTTAAGCAGCTTCTTGTCGTTTTTATCCACCACTCTCTGCAATTTCACATTAGATGAAACATTAAAGGAAAGATCTTATTTTTTTTTTTGAAACCCATCTTTGAGATTTAAAAAGTAGAGAGTCCAAACCTTTGGTGTTCCATCAGATTCGTCGACTTTAAATGGAGTCCATTGCACATCTCCAACGTGTACTTCCCACGATGAACACAACTCCATTGCCTTAGTCTCTGCTCTTGCTTTTGGACCTCTATGTTTCTTCTTCACTGCTGCCAAAAACGCTTCAGGGTTTAATTGCCCCATTCTCTTCACTCTAATCTTCTCTCCACTCATCAAATCTTCATTTCCATTCCAAAACTGCTCATCAAGATAACATCACAAGTTAAAAGGACAAAGCTTTCCCTAAACTCAAAGATAAAGAGCTTGGAACATGCAGATTAAGAATGCTTTTTGGTTTGTACCTNGATCATCTGTTTACGAGCGTCTTGATACTCGTCGTTGGTCACACGTTCTTTTTGTGCCAGAGTCATCATTTTCTCTTGTAGAGCCGTTTCTCTAGCCTCGAGCTCGATCTGAGGTTTAGCCATCTTATCAAGAAACTCTGCATCTCCATCAGTCCCGGCCATGTGCTTCATTACATTGGTGTTACCTTTCAGCTTCTCTATCTCCAACTCAAGCTCTTGCGTTTCATTTAGCTTCGCTTCCATTTCCATTATCTTTTCATGAAGCTTCTCCTTCTCTTTCTGCAAAAGTTTTCATCTTTCAAAAACTCAAAAGCAGAACATAGATGCTTTAGTTTAGATTTGTTCATGAACTACTTGCCTGGTGCTTTTCTGCAAGTTTCATAGCGTCTTCATTTGCTTCATTCTGCTCCCACATAGCCTTTTGATTCTAGTAACAAAGAAAATGGCAGGTGACATTACTTGTCTTAGGTGATTAAAGTAGCTGTTCTATTTCATAAGGAAATTATACCATTTTTCTTTCAAGTCTGGATTTTTCCATCTCAGCTTCGTTTATGTTTGCTTGTTGCTCGATCAGCCTCGCACGCTCCTCCAGCTTCTCCTTCTTTGCTTCCAGTTCCGACATAGATTTCTCATGTCCTTGCAGAATATGGTTATACAGCTCTTGCACGTTCCTCTCCATCTTCTCAATCTCTTCTCATCAAGAACACACAACCAAAAGAGAACTATGTCAACAAGAAGCACAAACAGATGCTTGAAACTAATTAAGTGTAAGTTAAATACAAAGTGTACTTTACCTTCTTGGTAGTATCTGTTTAAATGAAGGTTATGAAATGCATAATCATCCAATAACTTAGAAGTCAGACCAACTTTCTTTTCAAGCTCTAGCTTGCATTTCCTCTTCATCTTAATCGATTGAGACATGTTTTCGACAAGGTGACTCATTTTCCTCGCGTCCTCTGCTTGAATCTGTGACACACTTTTCAAATCTCTCTTCTTCATAACATTCTTGCCAACAATTCCACTTCCATTGTAATCCTCCTCTCTTGCAACCCATCCATAAAGCTTCTCATCTCTAAAGTGAGCACCTTTCTCCCAATCTCTCTTCCCATGTCTGTCTGATTCATAACTCCTCTCGAATCTCATGGCGTTTTCGAAACCTTCGAAATCTTTGCTGAATTCAACCAAAGCAAAACCAGAATGTCCTTTGAAATTCCAAATTGGTTGGACTCTTGTTGGACTAAACCCTTTCAGTGTTAGCTCATCACGTAACGTTGCACCGCTTTTGCCTACTCTCCGACCAGTTTTCTCAACCTCTGTTGGTATGTTTGCAACAAGACCAACCCATGGCCACACGAATTTCTCCTCAGAACAATCGTTTTGCTGCTTCATCTCTGAGGAGGTCTCTGCCTTCGAATCTCCCACTGGAAGTGTTTGTTTCTCTTGATTCTCCTCCATCTTAAGAGCTTCAATAAAAAGAGATTGGCTAATTAGATTTCATTCCCACAAACCATAATCAAACGCAGGAACCATGAAGAATCATTGCTTTCCCCTAAAGAAAAATCACGTTTTTATAACAAAAATCACTTCTTTGCTTCATTTGAGAACAATCTTTATGGGTTTTATTGAGGAAAAGTTGTATAAAAACGATGATTTATGGATCTAACTAGTATAAAAATCACATTTTTAGAACAACCCTGACAAAAAAAAAAACAACCTTTTTTGAGATTTTATCTAGAAAAGAGAAAAACCTGGAGAAATGTTGATTCAAAGTTTTCTCAAGTGAAAAAAAATCAAGTTTTTATAACATCTACAAAGTTGGAAATCGAAGTAGACACCAGAAAGAAATCACTTTTTTCTCCAAAAGAACCCAGAAAAAAACCCTCTTTCTTTCTCTGGTTTTATCAGGTTGAGTGAAAATGAATGATTCATGGCTTTTATCTGTGAATCAAATCACTTCTTAATGCTAAGAATCGGAGGGAAAAAAACAGACAAAGCAAAAGCAGAATTTGTTTCTTAATGAATCAGACTCTCGACGTTCCACATACCCATACCC